CATTCCTGCATGGCAGCTGTTTGGAGCTATTGTGTCACTTCTTTTTAGGTTGTGAGCTTTTTGTTTTGTTTTTTTTCGGTATGCGGGCCTCTCACTGTTGTGGTCTCTCCCCTTGGCCTCTCACTGTTGTGGTCTCTCCCCTTGCATTGCGGAGCACAGGCTCCGGACGCGCAGGCTCAGCGGCCATGGCTCACGGGCCCAGCCGCTCCGCGGGCATGTGGGATCTTCCCGGACCGGGGCACGAACCCGTGTCCCCTGCATCGGCAGGCGGACTCTCAACCACTGCGCCACCAGGGAAGCCCAGGATGTGAGCTTTTCATTTGGCTTCAGTCCCGCCCAGCAGCTCCACTAATTTCCATTAGTTGTCCAGGCCCCTGCAGGCATTTAGTTTGCAATTCCTACCCTATAAGGCAATGAGAAAGTTCAACAACGGGTAGCACCACTGGCTTATTAAAGGCAGGGATGATAAAATATTTAACTGATAGGAACCAGGAACCAACTAGTCAGGTCAGATGCTGGATCAGGGCCTTAGAAGCTTCCTGCAGTGTCAGACCCCAACCCTTTAGTTGCTGAAGTGTGTGTTTGCATATGCACATGCCAGAGAGGAGCCCACATTGTGTGGGCACAAGTGGTCAGCCAGGGCTGTTTACCAACCACTACAGAAGCCAAAGTATTTTAACTTCTGGTGTAGCTGTGAAGTGCATACTAGTTGAACAGGAGGCTCGGGGCTACCTAAGAGGGTAACGGGGTAGGGAGCAGCAGAGAGGAGTCCTGAGGTGACGTAAGGGCTGATGCTTTGTCCATGTCATAGTGCTCACCGTGTCACAATGGCACCAGTTGCCTGAACCTCTGCCACCCATCCCTGAACCTCACTTTGCCTCGGGGAGGCACTGAACTAAGAAACTGCCTTGTAACAGGTCGCGCCCCTCTATCTACTCCCTTTCTTATATCAAGAGGGGAAAAACACGGAACTACCTCTACCCGATCTGGTCACCCTACGCCTATTACCTTTACTGTTACAAATACCGGATCACCCTCCGGGAGAAGATGCTGCCTTGTTACAAAAGGTACTTGTTTTCATCTCTACTTGTAGTTGTTTATATACACTGTAAAGAAAAAAGAATTCGAAAGAACTTCCCAAGTAGCAAAAGATGATAATAGCAAAATAGGGTAGAAGGCTGGCATGGAGCTTCATAAACGTTTTCTATCTGGCTGGCTTGGGAAAATGGAAACAGATAGGTTGGTTCACATAAGATACAGAAGATGGTGCCAGAGCCTGGCCCTGTGTACCTGGAAGTTAAGAGTCTTTCCCCATCTCAGACTCAGAAATAAACTAATTTGGACCTCTTTTTCCCAATCAGCATCACTTATAAGGAACAGGAGGACTTGACACTCCGACCCCGTTGCTGTCTTCAGTGCTCCTGAGTCCCTAGTTGGCCTTCACAGGGGCAGAAGCAGCAAGCAGGGTGATCAAGACCAGCTTAAAGAACTGTATTCGGTAAGTGGACTGGGAGCTGGTGCGGTGACACGGCAGCCCCTTGCGGTAATGATATCTTGCAAAGGGACATTAGCTAGTCGGAAAATAAATCATAAGAAGCTAGAGCTAGATGAGACCTCGGAGCTCATGTGTAAAAGCTACTTTATAGACAAGGATTCTGGTCCAGAGATCTTAAGGCAAGGTCCTAGGGCTGGTGGTGAAAAGCAGGATGGGAAAAGAGAAAGTGGAAACAAAGATAGACTGTATTAAGACATAAAGCTGTTTAGATGCTAAGCTAAGTTCTGGGATTAGAACCCAGAACTCCTGCCCTTGCCTTTGTATCATATCTCAATAACATGCCTAGGTATGAGCTATGCATTTAAAATAAGAAATGGGAGAATTTAGAGGAAACATATGATGGAAAAAAGTAGAAGAGTATCATCAGTGAGACAGTAAATAGATGGCACAGCTTTGTTTAAAGAATAAGCTCTCTGATGTAAATATGTTTCTGAATGGTTAGAGCACACTGAGTGAGGTCAGCAGGCAGTAATACTCCATTGACTCCAGATTCCAAATTATTTGTATCAAAGAGAACTCCATGAGAGGAACAGAGTTAGGTCCCAGGACTAAGGGATATTGAGTAAGACCTTGGCTCCACTTTTCCCAGGCTCTCCATCAGCCCCTGCCTCGCTTCCACAGACACACCCAAACTGGCCTGAGATATGATTTGAGGGATAGGTGAGCACAGAAATAGGAGAATATTACTCTCATTTTTACTCCTTTTCTAGGCTGGGAACCTGACGGTGCTGGCTACTGACCCACTGCTTCACCAGGACCCGGTGCAGTTAGACTTCCACTTCCGCCTCACCCCCCAGACCTCTGCCCATTGGCACGGCCTTCTTTGTGACCACAGACTCTTCCTAGATATCCCATACCGGGCCTTGGATCAAGGCAGCCGGGAAAGGTGACTGAGCCTGTATGGGGGAGAGGGGAGCAAAGAGGTTAGGGGATTTCGCTCTTATGTCATAATCAGATAGTGGGCATGCTAACCAGTGAGGGCTTATTCAGGAGCTGGATACATTCAAACCACTGAACAAGCCTGTGAGCTGAGACAGGATCTGGGGTTCAAAGGATAACAGCCCATGGGAGGTTGCTAAACTGATTCAGAAACCCAAGTGGGCATGCATAAATAGTTGAAAGGAAGTGTTCTCTAGCTGTTTGTCTTTATAGAGTGGCCCCTTCACCCCAAGCCCCTTCCATGGCATGGGTGTCAGTCCAGTAGTGTATAATCCCTTGGCTTAAGAGAAAAAAAATCTATCAAAACTAGTTTAGCAACTTTCATTTCCTGGCTTGGGTCAGGAAAAACTAGTTAAGATTTCTTCTGCTGCAAGTAGGCATCTTTCTGGATTGTGAGTTTGCTGAACATTACGTTGACCATTTTCCCTCTGGTCCCTAGTTTGGCTGCAACACTGGAGTATGTGGAGGAGAAGACCAATGTGGATTCTGTGCTTGTAAACTTCCAAAACAACCGGAATGACAGAGGTGGGGATCTGCTCTGTCCTTCCTGGCCCTTTGTGCTGAAGCAGCCGACAAGTGACTTTTCCTTTGGAGACCTTCTTCCCCTCACTCTAAAAAAGGGCATATGCTTAGGCAGTTCAGGGATCCAACACCCACCCCCTACTCCCTGCCAAGGAAATTAAGGCATCTAGCATTCCGTTCATTCAAGTTATAACTAGACTATCAGGAAGGCCCTGCATGTAGATTTCAGAATCTAGACGGAAGGAGTACTGGTGAAATTACAAAAAAGCCATTCAAGGGATCTGGCTGGTAGGACAGAAAGGATCTCAAGTGTATTAAACACCTGTAGAGTGAAAGGGTCAGGCATTAGGCCAGGAGGATAGGAATATAATTAACCAGATGCTAGGCACACATTACAGAAACTACACCTCCTCCCTCAAGGAGTTTATACTTCATTGGATAAAAGACAAAGATGGTCAAGAGTTTACTATACCTTCCCGGTATAGTAAACTCCAGCCAGGTTAGAGTCTAGGTTTGTTTGACTCCAAAGCACATCATCCCAGTGCCTGCACTACACTGTTTCCCACACCCCCCAAGTCATTCCCTACTGGAAGAAGCCAAGGCTGGGGGACCAGATGTACTGAGTTTCAGAGTGTTCTAATTTCCTCTCTCTTTTCACAGGTGCCCTGCTACGGGCCTTCAGCTACATGGGCTTTGAAGTGGTCAGACCAGATCACCCGGCCCTTCCTCCCTGGAACAATGTCATCTTTATGGTGTATCCCCTTGAAAGGGACCTAGGCCACCTGCCCAGTGAAACTCCCTGAACATGCTTATTCTTACTCTGTGAAGGGCTCAGAGCCTTGATAAATGAGAACCAGGGGCCCAGGATGTGATTCAGAACACCTTCCATCTTAGGAATAAAGGGTAGTGCAATCCTCAAGTGTTCACTGTTTCTTTGAGCCTCACAGAGCTGAATTCACTGTAGGATAGATAGATAAACATTTGATGACTGAAAAGATCAAAGGGGCCTGAGCCAGAGAGAGAAAGGACCCAAGGATTTTCAGTTTTTGCCTTTCCTCATTTATTCTAACCATCTGAGCACCTGCCAGGAGCAAAACCAAGCACTAGGGAATTCAGGAAGACTTAAGCCTTACTGGGAGACTTTCACCCATATATTTTGGTTCAAATTGCAGACAAGTGCTATTTCCTTTCCTTTGATGTGGAGGAAATCAGAGAAGGTACATGGTTCCTGTGGCATTGGCTCAAGGGGAGGAGCATCCCAGGAAGCAGAAAACGTACAGTTATACTGGAATAGGGAACCCATCAGAATGCAATGTAAACTGACAAGGCTTAAAGGCCATATTAAAGGAACAGGCTTTCATACACAGTAACAAACTACAGTTAAGAATGAGACACTACTCATTTTCCAGAGCAAGAAGTCCTATGAATGATTTCTATCAGGGGACCTCTCAAGAGTAAAGGCTGATAACAAGGTCCTACTGATAGCACAGGGAACTATATTCAATATCCTGTGATAAACCATAATGGCAAAGAATATATAAAAAAAGAATGTCTATATGTGTATAACTGAGTCACTCTGCTGTACAGCAGAGATTGGCACAACAGTGTAAATCAACTACACTTCAATTAAAAAAATAAATATTCCAAAAAAAAAAAAAGGCGTAAAGGCTGAGGAAACTGGGGACTAACTGGCCTCATGACGCTGTTGTACAGCAGCTCCAATTCCAGGGTCGAGCCTGCTTCACTGAGTGAGTGCAGCCAAGGTCTGAAATGTCATATCAATGGCAGCCCTTCACTGATTCCTGTGGGACTACCCAAGCTACTCAGAGAAGCTCCTTCACTGAAGCCTTTCTGCTACTTGGTATGGAGACTTTTCTAAGACAATAAAATTTGAAAATTGTGTCTATGGGAAAATATAGTTACCATGTGTATAGGGGTGGACGTCACTAATTCCTAGATTTAAAGAATCCTGCACATGATAGCCTTACATACTAGTTTTAAGTCTTCTACTTTACCTTGATCTTTAAAAAAAAAAAAAAGTTCATTTGCCATCATTCTACCACCCTCATTACTTTCAAATACCTTCACAGTTCTCACTGGCTCCTCAAAATACTGTCAGAAACGGAGAGATGCTATAAGGAAACAGGCCCCACAAGTTTACAGCAAAGATCTATCCCTAGAACCCATGTTTCTAGAATCCTAGGTGGGGTCTTAGTGAATGATTAATTCTGAAGTTGCTTTACGGCAAGAATATGATCTGTGCGTGAGAGGGACAGATGTTTCATAGATGGGCCCCTCTATGTGAGGTGTTTGGCAATTTTCACCAGATTTCAGTTCACAAGATACCCACAGACTTGTTTCCACCTTGTGATTCAACCAGCGTTTAGTTTTAAATAATTTTCTTGAGAACTTTATTCAGCAAAGGAACCCCAAATGATCTGAACGGCTACATGAGCTCTATGGCTGCGTGTGTATACATATATATTATAGATACTATACCAGCAATTTAGAATATTTCCTGAGTTACCTCTCTCCTTGTCTACTTGTATTTTAACCAAAGTTTACTGGGAAATAGTTGGAGCACTGTTTCAAAAACCTTGTCTCCAATAACATATCAGCAGTTGAGGCTGGGAGGCAGTATCCTCTTCCCACTTCCCGAGGCTTTTCAATATAATTATGCTGAGTTTTGCCTTTGCCTCCTGACTCAACTGCAGTCTTTGAGTTCACCACTTAAAAAACTCTCCTTAACCAGTCACCTGATGAGGTGAGTCAGGAGTCTGCAGACTCATCATTTCCAATAACCAAACCCTGGCTGTTTCCCAGCCTCCAAAGGACACAGCCTAGCAGTAGTGTGCTTTGTGAATGGTCGAGGACTCAAACACTGGAAGGGGTACAGGGGTGGCGGGGGAGTAGGGGCATGTGTTTGTCTCCCTCCACCCCTCACACTTTCTGGTAGTCCAGTGGAAGGAGCAAATGCACTTGGTCCACAGCAAGCCGGATCGTGTATATAATGAAGGAAGAACTGCAGTGATCTCTATCACAGGCTCCTCTCTCCAGGCACCAAATCTTATGCCAAATCCTGCCAAAGACACAAACACACAAAGACACAAAAAGCTTGAAAGGGCTCAGTCTGAAAGTGAAGCTGCAGGAAAGCAGCTGCAGAGGAGGAGGAGTAAGATGGGCTATGGGGAAGAGGCAAGGCCCCTGCTGTCACCCTCATTACTTTCCTGTTGCTACAGATAGATGATAGCTCTACTTACCGCAAAGTGGATGGCTGAGGCGACTGAAGGTGACTTCAGAGTAAGTAGTCATCTTCAAGGTTATCATCACCAGACATAGAGGCAGCTTCTATTCAGCGGAATAGAAGATAAAGGATAAAGTTTGACACTGCCCTAATTTAGCAGGCACTGCACTGCCACTGAGGCTCAGGGATAAAAATGGGCTTCTTGGTGCTCGATGACCACCTTGGTTAAGAGGTAAGTCTTAACAACCTCCCTAGTTGGAGAGGCTGATTAAGAAATGGTAACTTCCAGAGATGCTCTAGGGAGAAAATGCTGTTTGTACCTAATAAACTGAGGCAGGACAGGGTATTTGCCATCTCTCCAGGGCTCTTCTTGGTCTCAGTGACTGTGCTGCGGAGAGAGACATCTGTTTCTGTGGCCTGAAGGGATGAAAACAAGAGAAAAAGGAAGAATGTGTTTGGCTGGTGGGAAAGGAGAAGCCGCCCCATCATTTTGCTCACAGAATCCGATTTGGCTGCTGAGGTCTCCCTGCACAAGGTCTCCTTTGACCAACTAGTGGAGCAACTCAGAGTCCTTAAGAGAACGCTCTACAAACTGTCATGCACGACTAGAAGCCCTCTTGTCTCAAGGCACCAGATTTGCCCCAAAGCAGTACCCTGAAAGACTACAATGGCTCACTCACCACATCGTGCAACATTACTGGGACAGCTCTGTTTTCTTCCATGTCTTCAGGAAGCTCAATTGCGTATCCTTTACGAACCAATTCTAACCCAATATCAAGTTTCTGAGAAGAAAGATGAAAAGGGAATGATGTTCTCTCTGAAGGAAGGGCAAATCACAGGAAATAAGGCAGAAGAGCTAGGATTGATACTTTAAAAAATTCCTTTGGTGGTTCAGTAAGCAGGATCTTATGAGTTAGGGATATCATCAGATAAGGGTTTCTGGGAGAGAAAAAGTAAATGAGGCTATAAATACACTGAAGAGACAGTGAGCAATGTGTGAACCCCAGTCTTACCTTCCCATTGCTAGTGTCGTATAAGTGGATCTTGGGCCAAGTTGAGATCCCAGACTGGACGTAGCTAGAGATCTTGGCCACCAGGGGCTTCCACCCAGCACAGTGAGTGAGTCTGTCAAACTCATCCAAAGCTTCCTCTTCCCATTGTTCACCTCGTAAAAAATCGTAGAGAGAGCCTAAGAAGGGGTCAGTGCTGACGGGGGTGGGATTATGTCCTGGAGGAAAACCAGAACTACCTTTGTCTACTTCAAAAGGCACCTATGTCTGACTGCCAGGCAAGTTTCTGACCGTTGCTTTCTAGCACTGGTGATGAAAAGGCACCTGAGCCCCCAGAACTCAAAAAGCCTGGGAATGTGAGACTCCCTCCCATGTGCTCTATGAAAGTTATTCTATATGGAGGCAAAGTCAATAGGTAATAGGACTAATTTACCTGAGGGGGCTATCTGTGCCAGACTACACTCTATTGCTTGAAATGGAAGGCTTAGGAAGTCACTCCTAAAGTGAAAGAAATTGAAATTAGAATCTGAGTGCCAGAAGGGCCTTCTTATATTCCTGGCTTCTAGACAGCAGTTAGCCCTGCAGAAGATGATAATCATCTGAGCACTGTAAAGAGGTTCTCTTCCAACGCCCCCTGGTGATAACTGCCAACAGCTCACCACCCTACGGCCAGGACTGAGTCAGTAAGTGAGACTCCAGCCTCACTCCAGCCTGTCCCCCACGCTGACCTGAGCACCCTGAGGTCCCTCAGTGGACAATATCCATTATCTCCAAAGTCAACGAAGTAGAGGTCCAGGTTCCCATTCTCCAAGGTGCCAAGGACCCGGGCTCGATACCAGGAACCATTTGTAGGTAAAGGTGCTGCGACAATGTCTCCTACATGCACAGTCAAGTCTTCAGGCTACACGAGGGGATGAGGAGGCAGGAGAGGGCAGAGTTAGGAAGGGGTAGGCTAAAAAATAAACCATGGATACCAGAAGGAAGGAAGCACAAGCCGCTGCTCCACAGAAAAGGGAAGAGAATATGTCACAATGAAAAAGATATGCCCCCTTTCCATCAAACCCCTGCCCTGTCACTATGGCAACTCACCAGACTATTTTCATAGTGCTGGGTCATCTCCCTGACAAGCTTATCCAGTTGCAGGCTGCGGGAGCCAATGATTTGGATCCAGAAGTGGTTAGGATGTTCAGAGGCAGAGACATAGACTTCTAGGAATTCATCGGCATGGAAACTGAAGTCTGGACTGGGGACTAACCACAGGGATAAGCAAGTTAAGCTGCAGAATCATTATTACCTAATATGGTGACCATTATTAGAATCATCTCTGGTTGAAATGGGAAGACTGCATCAGGAGGGTGAGAGGTACAAATACCAAGTGGCTACTACCATTTAAAAATGGCTAGAGGGACAACTAGATGCATCATACAAGAACATCCTGAAGAAAAATACTAAGCTATGTTCTGTTCCTTTCTATGAATCTGAGTAATAAGAGTTCGGTCACATTCTTAGTCATCTGCCACGTATTCAAATCAGCCACCAGTTATAATGAAGGGAAATCCCCATATGCTAGCTGCAGCATGGACCAGGGAGAAGATACATGGACAGATGTGGGCCTGTTCCAGATCCCTTTCTACCACTGACTCATTATGTGACCCTGGACAAGTCTATGAACCTCTTAGGGGCCCTGGTCTGCCCATCCCAGTACCTATACATAGAATAAACAGCCCACAGCTCTTTTATTCTTCTTGAATGGTGTAGATTTTTAAAAACAGTAATGATTCAGGAAAAAAACTGGACGCAGTATTTTACTTATTTAAATAAATAGGTCTGGAGAAAGAATACCATGTAATTCAATTATTTGATCTATTACTCACAGACTAGTTTTCTGTGAACTAGCATATTTCTATATTGTTTTCTATAATTATTAGCTGGTTTGTATTCAGAAAAAAAGTATTTGTGCTTAGTACTAATCCCAAGTAAAATATTGCCAGAAAGTCCTATCTGTGATTAAAGACTTGTAAGTGTAGTCGAGAAAATAGAAATTTTCTTTTTTATTGTTTCCTCTTTTGGGTTATCTAAGCCACTTTTTCTATCTTCCATATGGCTCATGAGTTCCCTCTTTCTTACATACTTTCAAACATGGATGTCTCTGGACTGGTCTGGGCTCCAAACTTCTGAAAGTTGTCATCATTAGGTTTCCTGCAGGAACGCTCTTCTGGTCCTACAAAGGACGTGTCGCCACCTCCTTTGCGGGGAGGAACTGCCAGAGGTGCAGCCTGCTCCAAGCTAGTGCCAGTGTTTTTCCATAAAGCTGGCTTTCCAGCCCCTGCTGGCTCTGTCACTTCCTCTCTTCTTACGCTGATTGGCTGCTTCCGTGGGACTCTGGTTTCTGCAGAATGAGCAATTCTCTTCCTAAGTTCTTCATCTTCTGAAACTTTCTCCAGTATCAAATGCTGTGGAAAATAAGACAAGGGATGATATCTACGTGGCCAGATACTGACCTGGGATGGAGCAAAGTGTTCTTCTCACTCTTAGATACAATTCAAATCTATCAGCTACTTACCTTAGCTGCTGCCACCTCCTTCTGTGTTCCTGAGATTTTTATAAGTCTTGATAGTAGCAATGTCCCCTCTGATCCTTTGTCACAGGTTATTTTGGCTCCCGAGGCCTTACAGATAGAACGAATTGTCTCTCCGCCTCTCCCTGCATTGAATAATACATAAAAACCTGTTCTTCCCTACTCAGTAACCTTACCTACTAGAGACACCATTGTTTTGTACATACTAGGAGGGGAGAGTCAGTTCTCATTTTCAAACTAAACAGAATGGAAGATAGTGAATGGAAAGCAGGAGCTACTGAAATCTGTACTATACTAAGGGGAATACTGGATTATTTGCTCTATCCATTTTATTTAAATTCTACACATTGGCTAGGTTAATGTGGTCATGTCACTTGCATTTTTTGGCCACTTGGCATACTTTACATCCCCACTTCATTAGAAGATACCCTACATGGTGTGTGAAACACTGGACCAGGGACAGGACATTTCTCTGCCTCTACCAGCAGTGCAAGGAATGCTCCAGGGGAAGGCATAATAGGTGCTTTCTAGAGCACTGTCTTGAAAGATTTGGGATAAAATGAGCATCCTTAGCTTCCCTTTAAAAATCTGAGGTAAATACATTTACCTGAACCCTTCTGGAACCTATTTGTAAGGTTCAGATCATACAACTTCTTGAGGTAATGAGTTTTGCTTTACCACTGATTTTACTTCTGTAAAAAAGTAAAGCTCTGGTCTCAATGTCCCTGCCTTTTTTTTCTCAGCAAGGTGAAGCGGAAGTAGGTCAGGAGAAACCCTTGGGAAGGTGTGAAAGAAAGGCAAAGGTAAACAAAAAAGGAAACAGCAGAGGAAGCTGTCCAGTGGTACCTATGATTCTGCCCACAGATCTCTGGGGAACTGAGAGCTGCTCAGACACTGGGGTACTCTCAGTCAGGATCTGATGAATTGCTGCTTTGGCCTTGCACACCTGAACAGGAAAACCACTGATGAGCAGAACCCGCTCATCTCCTACATCCTCCGTGTCCACATCGATCCGAGCACCTGTCTGTTTTCGTAGCTGCAGAGAAAAGGATATGTGGTAGTACACTCTGGACGAGCTCTCATCTGGGTCAGCTAAGGATACTCTAAACCTAACCCTGGAGGTAGACGGAACTGGACACAGTAATCAGTGAAATCAGGGTGCTATAAGCAGTCCTCAATTACGTGTACTTATGGAAGGAGATTAGAGACAAAGGTAACCCCAAACAGCAGTTAATCCAAAACAGTTTCTCTGTGTTTAGAACA